TTGTTTAATTGTAACATTTGAATACCTTTCCCTTTCCTTGTGCTAACAGAGGAAGTTTGAATTCTGGGAACTGATACACGGGTACTAAAAAGTGGTTTAATGATACTGCTGTACTTTTTTCCGGTGCCTTGAATTTGTTCATTTGGATTGTAATGACGTCGTATTGCATTAGTGCGGAGCAATATGTCACGATAGTTATTCTCATCTGCGGTTTTGTACCCAAGAGGTTGCCTCTTAAACAGTAGCTCGTATAGACCAGGAGTTCCGTTATATGCTACTGTGTCTCCTGTAGGAAGTTTGAGAACCAAATCTTGTTTGTCAAAGTCCAACTCGGAATCTCCAACGTAGAATTTATTGGCTTCCGGGATGTATCGTACACCATATCGATGATCAAATTCATTCTCTGTAGATCTGAACATCTGCTCCACATAAATCTTCGCCAATTCCGTAAAAGATGGATGGTCGCCAGCCCGCGAGAGCTCAGCTCTTAATTCATCTAGAGTTGGCGTTTCATCATCGCGAGTGGTGTCGGCAATCACGCTCGTGTCTAAAAAGCTCGGTTGTTCCTCGTGTTCCGAAAAAAGGGTTTTAGGGATTCGTTGAGCAGTAGACGCTTTTAGAGGGGTCCGAAGTGAGGTCTCTGTAGATGAGGTCACGTCGGCACTATCATGTTTAATATTTTCACGTTTAAAATTCTGAGGTGTAGCTTTAGTAAGCAGTTGCTTCAGCGGTTGAGTAATGGGTTTAAGATGTTGCTCGGATTTACGTTCTGCCAGCGCAAAATCACGCTTTAAGGAGATGTATTTATGTTTAACAGATTTTCTGGCATCAAGGAGGTCTTCTATTAAACGCTGTTTCATATTGACTGCATTTTTTCCATATGAAACATCGATATTTATATTAAAATGTAACAATCAAAACCTTTCCTATATCGACCCGAGTTCATGTCACTTTCTTTATCGATAACTAAGAATCCATATTTATCATTCCAGCACCTCACGCACATTTCCTTAAAGCGATCAAATGGCATATCGACATTCACGTGATCTTCGTGCACGTGTTTTAAATTAGTTTGATCCTGTTGAAACAACACAATTAAATTAGCATTGTCTCGAATTAACTGCTTGGGGATTGCCGAATACGTTTGACATAAATAAAAACAATCGTTATTTTTATGTCTACCAAAACAAAAATGTTCTCTGATCTCGTTTTGCTTATGGCAAGCAACGTCATCGAAAATCATTACCGAGTTGCTACGTGCGAGGTTAGGTGGGACGATGTCTGCACTGTCAGTATATTCAAAATTCCCAATTTCCTTAATTGGGGACAACAACTGACGCAGATATTGGTATTTCGGTTGCGGCAGCGATTTACAATACACGTATACATTTTCAAAGCGTAAACCGTTGGATTGTTCTAATAATGCAATCATAACATTCGTTTTACCACAACCTGATCTACCTACAATGATGCCACGTTTGCAACCACCCTGTAACAGGCTACTGTGTTTTGAAACACGTTTATCTCTCGAACACGCGTCGTAATTTTTTATAGGTAGTGCCGTTTCTTGCGGTTTGAAGCGTATGGAGGCCATTGCTCTACTGGAAGTGTATAAAACACTGAAACCTACTATATAAGTCCGTATATGCTTAGGAGCTCAGTAGTTGCCTGTCAACCAGCGAGCATGAACTTTCACTCTAACGTTAAGAAAAGAAGAATAGCGTCTAAAACGGGGAAAGGTCTTATTAACAATTTAATAAATAACCTGCCAGTTGAATTGCATCTGCCCGGATACCAATTTTGCGGACCTGGCACTCGTCTAAGCAAGCGATTGGCTCGCGGTGATCGAGGTATAAATCCGTTAGACGAAGCGTGCAGAGATCACGATATAGCATATTCAAGGTCTAGCAATATTAGTGACCGCCACGAGGCCGATAAAAATTTACAAAAAGCTGCGTGGGAGAGGTTTCGTTCGAGAAACGCCACTTTTGGCGAAAAAGCAGCCGCCCTTACCGTTGCAGGCATTATGAAAGGTAAAAGAACGTTGGGCATGGGTACGCGACGACGTACCATCAAAAAAAGAAGAAGAAACACAGCAACAATTTCGTTTAACAAAGGCGTTCAACTAGCTAGAAAGTATACTGGTGGTAACGTTCACTACGATCTGAATACAACTGTTCGACGAGCTGTTAACGCGTTAAAGAAGAAAAAGGTCAAACCGCCAAAACAGCGCATTTTACCCATACCTAAGACTGGCGGATTCATACCGTTAATTCCATTGTTTGCTGCACTGGGAGCCGCTGGTTCGTTAGGAGGAGCGGCGGCTATTGCTAGAGCAGTAAATGGCGCGAGGAATGCCGCCAAACAATTGGAGGAGAGCAAACGTCATAATGAAGTGATGGAGGCCGCCGCGATAGGAAAAGGTTTATACTTAAAACCGTACAAGACAGGATTAGGCCTTTATTTAAACCCCTATCAAAAAAACTTCCAGTGAAGCTACCACGCCGTCCGTTAACAGACTTGGATTTGTCGAAATATGTCAACAATTTAGGAATACAACATTTTAGAGGTATTTTTATGCGGAATACCTTACCGAAGAAAATAAATCGGGACGAATGCGGTATCGTAAACCTAGACGATGAAAATAACGACGGTACACATTGGACAGCGTATGTTAAGCTTGGCACACGTATTTCCTATTTTGATAGCATAGGACGGGTAAAACCACCCCACGAGCTAGTGCGCTATTTTCGAAGCGATGGTAGCAGGAACAATATTAAATACAATTACGATCACATACAACTTCCTAATTCTTTTAATTGTGGACATTTAGTGCTACGATTTTTATACAATAACGCACACTGATTGCGTTAGTTACATTATTATTGTCAAACGACAATGTCTTATACATTGACATTTACTAGTACGACATCTATTTTAAAAGCCTTCTTTCAACCGCCGCTTTTACTCAATGATGACGATTATGTAATGGGGCTAACAAACTTTGAAACCTATAATAGTATACACAACGTTACACCGACCAATAATAAATTCAAATATGGTAATCAGATGATCACAATACCGCCAGGATGTTACGAGATATCCGACATAAATAACTACATAAATGCCCAATTAAACAGGACATCTGGAGATTACGTCGAACTTCAAGCTAACAACAACACTATGCAGTCGGTTATTAAAGCGAACCGGCCCATAGATTTTACTATAGAAAACTCGATAGGAGAACTGTTAGGGTTCGAGAAAAAAACTCTCAGTGTAGAAGAAACTCATACTTCCAGTAATACCATCAACATCTTAAAAGTTAATTCTTTGTTAGTGGAGTGCAGTATTACCACTGGAAACTTTAAAAATGGCGTACCAGCCCATACAATTCACCAGTTCTTTCCAAGTGTGCCAGCGGGGTACAAAATAATCGAACGACCTCTTACTGTAATTTATTTACCTATTAATGTTTCTTCGGTTACCAGTATAACCCTTAAAATACTTGATCAAGACGGCGACATTGTCAATTTTAACGGAGAAGTGATTACGATAGGGTTACACCTTAAAAAGGCCAATCATGGTTAAACGATATAATCAATGTGGGTGCAAGCACGATCACAATAAAAAGGCTCAAGTTGTTCGGTCTAAGATTAGTAAGGGTGCAGCAGTCAAACCACTCACAGCTGTTAACAAAGCTTTTCTAAAATCTCTCGGCTTTACTACTTTACAATGAATATATTGGACGTAAATGAGAAAGTGCTTGTAGATAACAGCATAATAAATTATCAATATCATACTCATCAACCATACAGTACGAGATTTGGAAATAATGACGAAATTAGAATTCCAATACAAGAAGATATGTGCACTCTTCCTTCGGAAAGTCATCTCTACATTGAGGGAAAATTACTGCGAGAAGATGGGACGGCGTCACTTACCGCAAGATTTGTAAATAACGGTGTAGCATTCTTGTTTAGTGAAATTCGTTATGAAATAAACGGGATTGTAGTGGATTCCCTTACTAAAGCCGGATTATCATCGACAATGAAGGCTCTAGTTTCTTTAACCCCTAACGACAATACGCGATGTCAAATTTCCGGATGGTTTCCTACTGCTAATAGTACGGTTACCAGTCCAACGGGCCATTTTAACGTTTGTATTCCATTAAAGATGCTCTTGGGCTTTGCGGAAGACTACAGAAAAGTCATATTAAATATACGACAAGAACTTGTTCTAATCCGAGGTAATACAGATAATGACGCCGTAATATCTACAGCTGCCGATGAAGCTCTCAAAGTTGACATCGAGAAAATCTATTGGAAAGTACCTCACATTATTCCGGCGCTGGCCGAAGAATTAGCTTTGACCAAATACATTGACAAGAAATCGGAGACGCAGATAGCGTTTAGAAGTTGGGAAACGCACCTATACCCAGCTCTTCCACAAACTGATAAACATACGTGGGCGATAAAGACAGCAACTAGTTTAGAAACGCCCCGATATATTATCGTAGGTTTACAAACAGATCGGGATGGACAAGTTAGTAAAGATATGAGCAAATTTGATCACTGCGATATTAAAAATATTCGAGTCTTTCTCAATACGGAACGTTATCCTTACGATAATTTAAATATTAATTTCGGGAATAATCGATACGCAACTTTATACGACATGTACGCAAAGTTTCAATCTTCTTACTACGGCACAGAGAATCGACCATTACTTACACCCAAGCAATTTAAAGATTCGGCTCCTTTAATCGTAATTGATTGTTCAAACCAAAAGGAGGGTTTAAACTCGAAATCGGTGGTATTACGAATTGAATTTGAAACTAATGCGAACGTAGCGAATAATACTACAGCGTATTGCTTGATTTTACACGATCGGCTGTTTACGTACAACGCATTAACGAAAGCCGTAAGACAAATATAAAAACACCAACATAGGAAACGGATATACCACAACAAGAATGATGGTCGTAGTTGATGTACAAAGTTTTAAAACTTCAAAAAAGTGTTTTTCGCCAAAAGAACTTGCAATTTATAATGGAAAACAGATGGCTCATTTTGTCTTCAAGCCTCCATTTCCTTGGAGCAGCTTAGATAGCGAGTTCCAACGTCAAGCTAATTGGGTAACTCACAACCACCATGGAATTAAATGGGAGAGTGGCCATACACCGTCTCACCTATTTCCACTCATACTTCGTCATTTAATATCACCGTCAGATCACGTATACGTCAAAGGAAAGGAAAAGGCGGATATCATCCGAAAAGCTCTATCGCGGGACGTTATCGAGGTGGAAGAAGAACCAGCTCTTCCTTCATTAGAACCAAATTGCTATTATCATATACGATCACCTTGTCATTGTGCTTTATCTAACGTCTATTACATTTATAACACCTATGTAATGCAGTAATTTTTTTAAATAAACAAAATATATTTTTTTACTTTATTTATTGTACAGTTGGGACATTTTGATATGATTACATAATATGGGTTCTAACACAGATTCCGTGTTTTCAATTCTACATTTAAAACGATATCGATCTAAAGCAGCAGTTTGCCATTGGCCTTTCCTTGCTTCTGTGTAAGCAAAGGACCAAGCTCTTATTACATGAACTGTATTTTTTGTTTCGTCAAAGCTAACACGTTTCATTTTACAAAGTCTTTCAGACCCAATACACACATTTGCGTTTTAAAACATTTATAACAACCGTTTCCATTAATAAACTTATAACATACACGTTGAGCAGTTTTGTATACCTTAGCTAGTCTTAAACGATACACTTTTCTAAATATGAAATGTCTGTTATAGGCATCCCTTTCTAACTCTACAAAATTATCCAGCAAGCAACTAACATTCCTCTTGCTCTTCGTTATCTTCTTCTTCTCCTTCGTTTTCTGCTTCATTTTCCTCGTCACTGGAATCTGAATTATCCCAATGCTTCAAATCCTCTGCGGCACCTTCAAATCCAGCTTTGCAAAGTTGGCGTCTCAGACAAGTTAAACAGTATTTACCGTTCAGGAATAAATTACACAATTTAATACCGCGACTATATTTTTTAACAAGATCATTACACTCTTCTTCAGTACAAAAACGACCTAGTCCGTACACCGCTTCGTGTTCTGCGTCCTCCACTAAAGCTGACAATTCTTGTACTAAACGTTCCACGGCCGTGTGTGCGTCAACTGCTTTCGTCCAATTTTCGGCAGCGTAACACATCCACATTTTGTCAATTACACAAAAAATACTAAACTAACATGCTACACGAATGAGTATTACTTAAATACTTTTGCCACCTCCACATCAAGTTCCACTTTGCCAGGTAACGAGACCAATACTTCTAGCATGATAGCTGCATTATTACAGTTGATCGCCATTAAGGGTTCTAAAACACTCATGATGTTGTTTTTGAGATCGCCACCTATTTCTGCAACTCCGGTGATTAAGTTCCCATAGAAATGTCCAAATTCTTCAGACGACAAACACTTTAGCCGATACTTTATAACATCCAACTTATTCCACAATTCCATTACGCTTTCCCATCCTAAATACACCTCCGATGGTCCCTCATCGCGAATTTTGATAACCTTCCTTTCGTGAATTGTTATGAACTCAATCACCTTTGAATTTACCTTGATTGGCTGCCAAATGGGGTCCGTTGAGTAAAAATAATGGGTAAGTACCCCCTGTTGATCCACAAATGCTGCCCATTCATTTTCATTAAAGAAAATAGATTGATTTTTAACGCCACTAATTTTCACAATGGGTGAAAACAAGTGATTTGCAGATAGGGCAATCCATACATGCTTCGTTTGCGATTTATTTAAAGGATACACATGTTGAGCCACTAATTGCACGATTTGCTCTTCATTCTTCTTCTTCTTATTTTCTGGCACTTTCTTTTCTGCACTTTCCGCTTTCTCTTTAGCGCCTTGAATTAGTTTGGCAAGCTGATTCATTTTGCATTACTACTATTACATGTATTTTCAAACAAATATATACTTTAGGAACACTTGATCCCACCCGAGCTAAACGGCTCATTTGAGACCCCATCCGTTAAGGAAGGATCATGTGAGACCCCATCCGTTAAGGAAGGATCATTTGAGACCCCATACGTTAAGGAAGGATCATTTGAGACCCCAATGGGTTGTAACTAGGTCATCGAGGATTCTCTGAGACCCCACTCGCATTTTAAAAGTAGGTCAGAGGATTCTCTGAGACCCCACTCGCATTTTAAAAGTAGGTCAGAGGATTCATTTGAGTCCCCATAGGATTCTGATCAGGATCTGCGCATCCCCATCCATATAGAGCCCATATGCGCGGAACCCAAGGTCAAAGAGGATCTGCGCACCCCCATTCTTTCCCCTACTGACCACCAATGCGACTTAACGTAGTAATCTAAAAAAAAATGATTGATCACTGCTTCTAACTTTTGTTACTACCCACCAATCTGTTTTTGTATTCATTTTTGTCTAAAATATTTTCCATTTTCTGCACATTTACAGTGGTCTTGAGAGGAAAATATTTTAGCGCATCGTCTGGTTCAATTTCTTCTTCCTTCTCACAGCGACATTTATTTTGTTCAATAGTTTGTGCTAATTTGGTAAATCCAACTTTTATGGACTGTATTTCTTTGAATATTCGTTTTTGAAAATCTGTAGATACATAAATGAGTCACAAGTACGACAATAAATAGAAAATACCAAACATACCTTCATATGAAAGCGATGGTACCGATTGTGAATAACTTGCTTTTAAAACCACAACAATTAAAAGAAGTAGATGATATTATTAGAATACCTTGATATAAATGAGGTGATGGTGAAACAATTTGTGAACCACTTGCTTCTATAACCATAACAATAAATTACAAAAAACCATGGTATTTAGTGAAACAAGGTCTGGTTTTCACAACTCTTCATAAGGTAAGTATAACTAAAGATAACTTTTTCTATTGAAAATGTATGCTTAATGCTCGGCTTAATGGATAAATAATTAAATGTCACTAATAAGAGTCGAAAGGCAGACCTCATTACAAAACAACTAATATACCTTCATATGGAACAGGTACTGATTCAGTTTGTGAACGATGTGCTTCTAAAAAGATAAATAATTAATCAAGTTATTGTCACAGAATTCAGAAAACACATACCAATCTGAGATATTTTTTTTGCAGGAGTAACTTCTGAACATCTTTGTGTGCGTAATCTTTTTTCTAAAACAACAATATTTAAACTATATTTATTGTCACACATTTACATAACGTAATTTACCTTTAATCAACTTTTTTTTATGGTGGTGAGGGATACGACTGTCTGTCACTCTCGCTACCTTCTTCATTTGAGGTCGACAAATGTTTTTTCTTTGATACTTTTCGGTATTGCTTAGAATCACGTTCACCATCTGTGTTTAAATCAGATGTGACTTCAGCTAATATGAGTTTTTCCCTAGCTTTCTCATATGAAGCTGTAATTAATGTAAAGAAAATTAAAACAAAATGCAAAGATTGTAAAACTTACAGTATGTTCCCAAGATCTTGATTTCGTACAAGTGCCACGATGACTTATCAGGGGCCTGCGTTTTTTTCACCTTCTTAGGTGGCCAATAGCATTGACCATTTGGGTGCATCCAAATATCAGGCACAATCTCCACACTTTCATCCTCGGCAAATGTGACAACATGATAGTTTTTAATAATACACATCTAAAGAAATAGTAAGTACACTAATTTACACTGGTTAACTGTTCATATTTACAATAAGATAATAAAACTAAACTAGCAACATTTAAAAAATAAGGGTAGTAATTATAGATTTTCAAAGTTTGTTTCCATGAATGAGGGGAAAGACAGCAAATCCATGCTTGAAAGGTAGTATTAGACACTTATAACTTAATAATGAAACAGACCACATTTTCACTTCTTTGGATAGATTTGTGGCAAAGAAGCAATTTAAAATAGAAGAATCACATGGAGTTTTGTAAATATCTCCAAGTTCCTCAAATGCACGTCCTACAAGCATCCACTCTTTTCTTGTTTCACAAAAAATAAAGTTTGAAATTAACAAAATTGTTCCATCTTCTAACAAACAACAATTATTAGGTTTCCGTGTAGACATTTTAAAACTTCTATTTTCAAGACATTTGAACTGTTTTTTGATACATTGGCATTTGCATATTACTGGCCCATTAAAATGTTGTTCATTATATTTAACACCTATAAATATTTCATTAGGTTTTTCTGGTTTAATGGCTCCCTGAGTTTCTACATAATGTTATTTTAAATGTTTAATGAATACTTTATTAACATAAAATGCACTATAATTCAATCACAGATTAACTAAACGTAAAAAATCGTCTCTCAAATCTTTACATCATTTTTGCACCCACGCGCGATTTCCACTTCACTTTTTTCAGCACACTATTCACCTTTTTATATTTTAACACATAACGCCTGTGTAACTGGTGTAATGGTTTATCGTGCTTTCGGAGAAAACCCTTCAACACTCTCATAAAATTCTCAAACGGGAAAGCACTAAATGAATCCAGTGGGCCCAACCTTCTCACATCATCAGTTAGATGGATTAATCCATGAATATTGTGGGAAACTAATTCTACACCATAAAGTGTTATAAACTGATTTACAAAATGAATTAAAATTTTTTCACTGTACAACAGTTCTTCATCGCTTGATTTGCCACACAATATTCTTATACTCACATGTAAGGTAATAAAATGGTCATACATTTTCTTTGAAAGAACTTGATAAAGAGCCACAGGGCAAGTATATAGTAAAAATTGCCGTAATTCAGTTGCTTTCCATTGGTTCAGGTTTTCTATTGGCTGTGGACGCCTAGCAAAATCATCCGAAATGTAACCTCCCAATGATAACAAATTTTTTGTAATCGTTTTTACTTTCGCATTTTGTAAACGTGTTCGGAGATTTCCACTTAACCAAATTCCCATATTTTTTTTTACCACTCCAATGCAAACCAAGTGCATATAATCAAGAGGAATTTGTGATACCAAGCCAAAATTTTGAATACTTGTTAATATAGATGTGCCTAAATGGTATTCCTCATTACGTTATGCAAAAACACTGTCATCTGTCCTTTTTTTGGAATTAACTTCCGGAAAGCACATTCTCCGTTCTCGATATTGCCCTTCTTGCTCACACTTGCTACAACCAAAATATCCTGCATGACCTTTAGTTTTTGTAATAAAGGACTTTGCAGGAGCATCGCACACAATACAATAAATTGATATATGTAATTGTTTGCCCTCATATGTCAAACCACTATTTATAAGGACTATAATTTCATCTACAAATTCCCGCAAAAAATCATTAGCCTCTGTTGGTTTTGAATAACCATGGTATGCACCAATTAAAAATACATGAGAAGTGGGATAAACACATCCTAAAATAGGCCACAACTGACTACTGCTGCTGCTAGAGAGTGGTAATCCATCTATTCCAATTTTTAATTTTATTTCAAAAAATTCATGCACCATGGAGTCCTTTTCAATTGTGTTTAATATTCCTTGCTTCAAACCAAAATGAAAGTAAGTACCTGGAGGAACAACACGAATCTCGGTGCTTCGTGGTGTTTTTAATAATGTTCGTGGATCTTTGGGTATTAACGTTGATAAGTTTGGTAATTTTTGTAACATTTGCAACAGGTCAGCTAAAGCAACATGCGATATTTCATGTTTTGTAGCCCAAGAAACAAGTTCCCTCTTAAAAACTGTATAACAATCTTTCACACTGTCTTCGTGACCACTTTCCACACCTTGTGACATAATTTTTGCATCGAAAATTGTATTGTACGTTAGTTCATCGCTAGCGCTACACAAGTCATTGTCACTATCTGAATTCCACGCATTTGCAATAGACGAGGCACAAGCCATCTGACGATGTGACTTATCTGATAGCAACTTGCTACTTATTTCACGACAAGAATTACTTTCGGTTGCCAATGTAACACTAGCCACTTGTTGACTAAGTAACCTTCTAATATGTCGTGGGGATGCATCAGCAATGAGCTTAGTTTTTAATCCTAAATTTTCCATTTTTTCCTAAAAGTTCACACCTTTTAGTAGCAAGAAGTAGGAAATAACATGCAAACATTTACAAAACTGTACTCCCAAGGAAAAATTAACAAAATCTTTACTTACCTTATAATTTTCCGGCACCAAAGACACAAAAAGAACAAACGCCGTCGGTTTACATAAGATTATTACCAAAATTTTACAAAGTAGAAGTACAATCCTCAGATTATGAAAATTTGATGTCAGTTGTCAGGTTTTCAGGGTCACCAACATTACTTTAAAACACATAGCACTGTTGCCAACGTTATTATAAAGGACATAGAAGTACCATTAGATATCCAAAGAATATCCACAATGTTATCTTCTAGCGATTACGCCATTTTACGTATACTGAAAAAAACTCTCATTTACTAACATTAGGTATCCGAAAATCTTAATTTATAATGATTTGCTCATCGTATTAAAGATTTCTTAGACCTATGTCCATAGATATCGACTTTCATAGATATCTATGTGATATCCACTAGATAATATAAATGGATTGGATATCATATGGATATTTTCCACATAATATGGATATCCATAAGCTATCTTGTGTTATGTGGGTCCTTTCCAGGATACACTTCAATCACACGCGCAAGATTCCAATCGATTCGCTTTTTCAAATCTTAAAACACGAACACAAGATCCCCGACCCTAATATTATCAGTCTGTTTACTGTAATATATCTTCTACTACTTACCCTGTATATATGTGTTACACCTAAGTTTACTTGTTCTTAAGTTGGCACGGCTGATATACAAAATGGCCGAGTTGTAAACATTACGCTATTATTGTCCCAGAACAAAAAACTTAGAAGGGAAACGTAAACGGGAACAACTGAGTACAAATATAACTAGTGTGGAGAACATTCAATAGATGGCGCATAGTTAGCGTGCGTGTTAAAGTTACTAAATCTAGTGACTTTCGTGCGTGTTCGCCATTATGACAGTTGAATTTTGAATTATGATTGACGGCTTATTGTGCTTTAAGTATAATATTACTATTCATTATTACAATGAATTATGCATATACAAGTCGAGAACGTAAATGTTGTGTGATAAATTGTGAAGACGTTTCCCAAAAATGGAGCCCGAAGTTTTTAAGAATTGGTTTAGAATATAATGTGGAAGAAATTTACACAAAAGTTTTTGGTTTGTGAACGTCATTTTTCTGGCTGCGCTTTAGAACCTGGAACACGATGAGATTTAAAGCGTGTTGCAGTTCGCACATTATATTTAGCAGGTAACATTAATTGAATTGTAATAAATTGCTACATATTTTGTTTTTAGAACGATCTCGAGAGCATCATACAGTAGAGTTCCATGAAGTTGATCTTGTATTTTGTATAATCATATTAAATTAAATATAACTCCTTGATTGGATTAATTGGAGTTGTTACTTATAAAACAAGTGCCCTGTACTCTTTGAAGGCCCTGACTGGTGAGGTGCATCCGCATTAAACTGAATTTATTTGGATCCCTAACAAACAAAATTGGACTTCACTGGCTGGATTCATTTACCTTTTACGTTTCAGCTAGTCAAATCCAATGTTATTGTTACAGATCCGGAGAAATTCAGTATCATGCGGACGTAGCTTACATTTTAATATTTAAATTTGGCGCCATTCACGCAAAAGCTGCTGAGAACATACACGAGATGGCGCGTCATTTTTACATTACACATTACATTACAGTTTCCATTCTAAGTTTGTTGTTCTATGCTTATTGTTAATATTGACATTAAAACTTAAGTTGGATTCTTATCTACGCCTAACTTATTTACAACAACTGGCGCAGTCGGTCGGTGAAGTTGATGGGTATATTCGTGTGTTCATTCGTGCATCCGTGTTACCATGGAAGGAATGGAAGCTATGCAGCTCGCGATGACTCGCATGGCCGAAGCCATTGCGGCACTAGCTCAGAATCAACATCAGCCTAACCAGAATCTACAACCTGAGGAGCCCCTACAGCGATCTCAAGGTATTCCAAATTTTCCCCGATATACAGAGGGCGAAAATATTGAAGATTTTTGCATCCAATTTGAAGGACTCGCTTCAATACCTACACGATTACAATGAAGCCCGACAAAAGGCCTCATTTCTGGCTCTACTACCCACTACAACGTATCAACTACTCAAAAACTTGATCTTTCCGGAGTCGGTAGCTACGCGGTCACATGCGCAGATTAAGACTACACTCATTGGGCACATGCGCCCGCCGCCTTTGCGCATTCCTTCAAGACACGCTCTGTGCTCACGTCGACAAAGGGAAGGAGAAAGCATTCCTGAATACTTAACGTCGTTACGAGCGTTAGCGATTCCATGCGGATATGATGCTAATACACTAGCAGAAGTCCTTAAAGACATTTTCGTTGCTGGAATCCGTGCGAAATCGATACTCGATCAGGTATTTACAATGCCTGACACCTCTACACTAGAAGAGCTTTATGCAAAAGCTGTGGCAATAGAGAGAGCAGAAGCAAGTTCAATGCAAATGCTAGCTGATAGTAAAATGACATGTACAGTCAATAAAGTTACTAAAGTGAAAACTCAGCAGCCACAAAAATCCAAGCAACCTACGACGACTAAATCTGATAAACCAACGTGTTTCCAGTGCGGAAAAATTGGTCACAAAAGTCCAGAATGCAGAATGGACAAGTCCAAACTGAAATGTACAAGTTGTGAACGTTCTGGTCATGTAGCAACTGTATGCAGACAGAAGAAGGAGGAAATTCACCACATTGATGGAGAAGGTGCACCTTGGACTGCTACAATTGACGTGCAAGAAGCCGCTTGAGTTCGAGCTCGATACAGGGTGCGAGTACACTATTGTTCCTGTCAGTGTGTTCCAGACCTTACGTACTGATCTCAAAAAAAGTGACAAGCTGTTCCAACCGTACGGT